AAACCGTTCATCCTCCTCATTCATACCCTGACTTTCTTCTCCAGTCATGCTCCTTTCTCACGCAACCTCGGTGGGCTAAGCACTTCAACCACTCTGCACGCATCCTTAAACTTTCACTCGACTCCACCATAAATAATCCTTGCAGTCGATCCTTGCGCACATGGTCACTTTCATTCTAAGTCCAGACACACTCGATTCTCATTTCCCAGAACCACACTTATTCCATTTCCACATATATATATTGTTACAGATCGCGTTTACAATTATTGTTCAACAAGTTCAATCGTTAGATTGCCAAAGATTTCCAATCATCGTTGAATAGACTTAACCCTATTGAAAGGTTGACAGCTCTACTCGCAACTTTGGTGGAAGACATCTCTTTTTATACTAAACAGCCGATTGTTATTTTGATTTCGATTCTTATCAAGTGTCGTTGGAGCCAAACGGCGACATCTGACTCATATTTATTTATTTATTTATCTATCTATTTATTTATCTAGTTCACTCCCTGCATCTTACCCACCTAAAACCGAAGAATATTAAAAAGATCAATTGGTCTACAACCTTCTTCATCGGGCTTCCAACAATACTCGAGAACACGCGTTGATTTTATCCCAGTTGACATTACTCTGTGAATTTTGCATTGGTCACTGTGTATATTAGGATATATTAGGATATAGTACGTTTAGTATAACGAAATGGATCGAGATTAAGCTAAGGACGTACGTAGACGTGACCATCACGCTGCTTTTCGGATTAAGAATCTGCTTTTTCCCTTGACACCGTTCCCCCCATTTTTATTTTCTCCTTCTTCTGTATTCGGAAAGGGAAAAGATAAATTATGCCGCTCGAAAGATTTGCTGCTATTCTCTGTTTTCCGATAACAAGTTACGCCTGATTCCTCACATTCGATATTTATTTTCCTTCGCAGCGACATACACCAGACTTCGATGGAAAAACATGAAATTATAGAACGATTTCCCTGTATCGAGCGTGTTCGGCCTCTCAGAAAGTTTCTGCCATGTGTGTGTATGTGTGTAACATTTGGAAGTTATCCGGGATGAAGTCGGAATTTAGAGGTGGACTAATCGAATCCTGGAACTTCCAAGTGCCGAATTTCCAGGCTCATCGGAATTCTCAAGCTCGTCGACTTACCTCGACTCCTTGAAAATTTGGAATCTTATGGAAAATTTGAAATAGAAATTGCGCGAATGATAAAGCGGTCTGAGGTGAAACGTAATAAGCGATATTGAAATTTCTATCGAAAAATAAAGGGAACATTAGCACGACGGAGGATTAGAGTGTCACTTGAGAGACGATGTTTCAAACGGGAAAGTACAGAGAAAAGGGAAGCGACTTTGCTATTTCTTAATGGCTGGGAAGACAGAAAATTTTACGCCCGTCTTTGCATAACGAAAGAGAACGGACAGAAAAGCGAGAAAGACGCCATCCTCCACATTGGAAGAACTCTTTCAAGAAAAGTTGTATCACTTGAAACAATTTTATGCGGAAGTATTAAATATCTTTTTTCATATTTTTTATCACGAGATATCGGAGATAAATTAATCCCTTGACGACCATGTTTCTGTTGACACGGTTTCCATTTTACGTGATGTTATAAGAAATATTCTTCATCCCATAAAAGATATTCGAATGTATTTGAAAATACCAATTGTTTTTTATTAACTCTTTCACGAGAACGCGTTCCGGTAGTCTTAAGACGATTTCTTGTTTAACTCACTAGCGCCACCACGCCTCATATCTGCAACGAACGTTTACCGTAAATATCGTATATATCGTTGAACTATCTTTTAACTTTGCTATCATAATCAAGGAATTTTCTTCTTACTGATGAACAGGTTAAACATTATGATTGCCTACTAAATCGAGGTGCGATTTTGAATTTAATTCGCTGAAAAACTTATGTCATAGACTTTGTTCGGTATTAAATTTCTCTTCGTTGTTAACGTTGAACGATGAAAGTGTTCTCCGTGATTTAAACGATTGGACTTGGAAGGAAATTCCCAAGTTGACGAACTAAACTCTTCCACCCCTGTGAACTATCGTTTATTACGACCAGCAATCCACGTCTAGAACTTGATTCTTATTAATATTCTCCTCTTGCGCAGTGAAGATTGGAAGGGTCGACGAGGGAGAAGTGGCCATCCGTTGCCACCGATGAAGTTTCCATTAACGAACCTCATGGTGTGCATCTTTGAACTGGTTACGATTTTCTTCGTGTGATTATTGACGTCGAGCAAAGACTTCGTTAACCATTCTAATGTTTGACATACTTGATTAACAGGGCACGCAGAATGGCTTCGTTAGGCAGGTAAATGTTTTGCCACCACTCTAATGAAGAATTTCTTGATTGAATCCAATTAATCGCACATTTTTCTTTTCCCTCGTTGTAAGTTAGAAATTTGCTCTTGAAAAATTGCTTTTAGAGAATGCTACGTAATTCTATTCGTTTCGCTCGTATGCATCATCGATTACATATTTTTTGATCGATTACTACGTTTTCCGAGATTTCGAATTTCACGTTCTGATGGTTTTCGATTTCAAGTTCGGCGATTCGGGAATTTTCTCGAGTAATGATTTTCAGTTTCGAGTACTGAAGTTGCGTTTAATGTTATTTCGCGATCTCTATTTCAAGTACAATAGAACCACGAGAGATATTCATTCTGTTCATGAGAAAATGTTATATGGGATTCGCGAAACTAAGAGTGCAAAAATTAGCATCAAATACATAGTCTCTTTTTTCTTTTTAGTATAATGGAAAATATTGTGCGCATTATTTGTCTTAGAACAGCTGAAATGTAAAGTTTACCATTTTATTACCATTTATAGGAGTGTCGTGTTATACATGGACCTGCTGTATCTAATTTCATGCCTTTTATAAATGAAATGTTTCGTTTATGTAGAACTCGTAGATTTTCTTCGAAAGTTTTCGTCGCCTCGTTACACGATGGACACAGTGGTTTATGAGAAAATTCGAGACACGCGACGACACGTATACCTATTTTCAACGTCGATTCCTCTTTTGTGCTCTCCTTGATTCACGTTAGGGTTTCGATACCATAAATATATCGCGTAATCACGGCAAAGAGCGTAGGAGTAGACAAGACGCGATCTTCTGTTTATAAAGAAATCTAATAAAAGCAGTGGTCGATTTCATGCGTGAAGCAACCAAGCGAAATTCTCCAATTTATTTTTACCACTTATATAATCTTCTCTTTCCCCGTTAATTACGCCACAGTTCATAAGCGTCACTTTGGTAGATTTATGGTAGCCATGCGTGAATTTCAAATAAATGGCCAGTTAATGACCAATGAATGACTAAAAGCAGTATTTATTATCTTTTTACGGTGTCGGCAGAGTACTCGTAAATTTAAATTATCCACTAAAAAATCTATAATATTACTCGCGATTTCGAAGTTAAATAACGATATGCAACAAAATTTCGTATAAACAAATTTTGCTATGTAGCGACCGTCATTCTCACACTCGCCAATAGATGGATTTCTGCTCGAAGGAGGTTCGAGGATTTTCTCGTAAATAGAAATTCCTATGCCACCAAAGTATCCCCGTCTAAGGTAGGGCCTGCTAGAAAGTCTTACTGACGAGTCCACTAGCAGGCCCAGGACGAAACGAATCCTTTCCCCCACGTTCTTCTATCTGCTATCCTATCATAGCACAATGACCAAGGGGATACCAACAGGCCAGCACCATAGGAACACCAACCCATCAGTAGGAACTACCGAAACAACGAAGACCTCTAGCTTCGAATAATTGGGTTAGATGGATATATCAGATTAAATCTGATTAAATACCAAATATAAGCATTCTGTATCCACGAAGTAAAAAAAGAAAAATGAAACAGGAAAGAGAACAGTTCTCAGTTTTGAATACCGAGTCCTCAGCTCAGAATTGTGCTTCCTGAGTTCTGATATCATATATGTATATCTGTAATAACTTTATCTGCAGTTTCCTTATTGAATCACACCTCTGCTCAAAAAATGCTCGAGAATTAAAGACGAATCGATTCGATCATGTTGAAAAGATAAGTTTAACACGTTGAGTGCGACGCCGATTTTGCTATACTTTCCGCTCAGGCTAGTGAGTACTCGATGCCGAGCGCTCAAGTATACTGAAGAGTATGAGCAGAAGATTACTTTGTTTCACTTTGTCGTTTGGACTGTGAGAATGGTACAGCCAATGCACAAATATACAAATTATAAACAGAAGATAACGAGCTGGGGAATGTCAGAAAGGCAAAAAGGCGATCACCAAGAAACGATCAGTCGAGAAAAGCCACGGAAGTGTAAAGATTTACTTTAGCAGAGGGAATTAAATTTTTACAATATATTAATTGTCATTGATAATTTAACCCTTGACAATGCCAGTCTTACGCATCGATGATGATCAAACGAAAAATTCGCTGTCGGCCCTTAGAATCCACACCGTCCAAACGAAAAGTCTACTGTCAGTCCCTAGGGACTGACGGAGCACTCAACGTGTTAATTATATACAAAAATCAATCTAGGATATAAAGTGTGAAGAAGTAGTTTATAAGGTCTAAATTCCGAGAACGAATGTTTATATTGTAAGACAAATTAGGTTGAACGTCGGCAAGGATCGTGTCCCATCGTCCGCGATTATGGTGAGGGCCGATGAACGGCAATATATAAATAACGACGGTCGAACGAGCTTATTAATTAACGTTATTTGTTAATTAATAAAGTGTTTAAGCTTCCAGAACTTTCCTGCAGTCTTCTCACAATATAAACATTAGATAAGAATTGGGGGTTTAGGCGAACCGCGCCACGTACCCTCTTGCCACTCTCTCACGAGTCGGTCAGTCGCTCTAGAAAAGCACTTAGAGGTAAATATACCTTCCTTGAGCGATAAAAGACTTTAAAAAGGGAATAAATATATATATATATATATATCGTAGGTATTTTACAACGATAAATCCATAATCCCAATAGATCACTTACAAAGTCGAACGTAGAGAACATATTGCATCGGTGCTCTAGCCGCAGTATCGAGGATGCTCCCTCTCGTAGCCAGGAAGCAGATGGAAAATTCTACTATCATGGAGACCACGAAAATGGCTAGGTATCCCACGACGTACTCCCACAATAGAAGAATGCACGTAACATTGCGATCCCATTCCAGTATCCCCAATAGAATGCCCAGTACTGTCACCCTGTAACAAAGACGATAAGAACTTTCATAAAGCCACTATTGTTTCCTTTTTCCCCTTTCTTCTTTATTCAGTTTCTGTGTTTGACACAGTTACGCGCGCAGCTAACCTGCCCAAGTAACGAGCAATCCAAGGGGCCGTATATCAAAAGGCGTAAGCCTATCTGTGAGCAATTCTCGAGCTTTTTGGTATCCTGAAATTCATCTGACATTTACTAACCCAGCCTAAACTCATTTCGTCCGTGCCATATTTCATTGTCGAGTCGCAGCCGCGGTATTTATAGCGTGCAAGCACGAACACTCCGTGTTCTTCGCTAATATTCGCAATACAGATCGATCGGTTTCCAGGATTTCCTTCCGTGGCAATCGAGAACTCGCGGGATCTTTAACGACGTGGGTAATTATTTTCTAAATATAACGCCGCAATTTTCCCGGCATTTTTATTTCATCCGAGAAGCTTACGCGCGAGCTATTATTTCCGTAAGAAGTTGCTGCGATTCCGTGGCTCCTATTAGCTCATTATGTCCATTTATCTTCGTTTTCCATTGTTTTGCTCTTTTCCTCGGGAGAAGAAGCCAGTATTTGTGATTTCCTCGAGAACGAAGGTTCTTTTAAAACGATGTTTCGAGGAATAAGGCTTCTTAACGAGCTCGCGAGTTATGCAATGGAAATTAATTAAAATTAACGACACGAAGTATCGAATTAAGAAATAGTTGTTGCAGCTGTTATATAATTACTCTTTTTATAACGTACATTTTTCTAAGCTGTGAACACGAGTGTGCAGGTTGAGTGACGATTCAAAATAACTCGTAAAATATTTATCGGACAAATCAATTTTTCCAGGAAGATTATCATTCCTTTATTTTTCTTTTCTCAATGCAGTGTTTAAGCTTCTTCTCCGAATTTTATCGAAACGGTCACATCGCTTCAGAGTAGGATCTGAAATAATTACCAAGATATTCTTAATAAATTGACTGTCACGATAGTCATGAGTAACCTACGCTCGTCTACTTTCTGAAAATTTGGACAGTGTAAATAAACGGAGAACATTAGGAATTCTTTTCTCTTTTCGTCTTATTGTTTAATAATTCGTTATATCGTAAGAATAATTGAAATTTTATTTAAATAATAATTTATTAATAACGTTATTAATAAAATTAAATTTTATTATTGATCTTGGCAGTCATCGCGTTAAACAAATTATTCCGTATCGCGAGAAAACAAATCGACGTTCCCTTCGAATTCTGTCCGTAGATATAGTCGATTTCCTCGACAACGAAGCTTCGAATGACAAAATTTTATTCTATATTTCCGATTTATTGTTTCATGTAGAATTACACCCTTCTCGATCGTACCATTGATACTCGTGTATAGATGGCATATTCATATAATCCATATCCAAATGTACAAACACTCGTTGAATATTCAAAATCAATTTTCTCGACAACGAAGCTTCGAATCAAAAACTTTTATTATTTTCTTTCGATTCCTTTCTGAATGTAGAATCACCACCTTCCCGGTTGTACTACCGTTGCTGGGACACCCTGTATACTGTATATTTCACGAATTATTTTGGGCAAGAAATTTTACATATTCCCATAATTAATTATAATTCTTCCCGGATAAGGTATATTATATATGAGCGATAAACGCGGGTATACATAAACCAGACGTGTTCTGAGAATACCGATGTTTTCCCATGCCTGAAGAAGTCTCGTCTAATCCCGGCTTAAATCGATGCTGGAATATTTCGAGTTCTTCTCCCGACGAGAGACAGCGGCGTACTTCGGAGAGTAATTGTGTCTTGTGTCTGACACTTGACGGAACTTCGGCCAGCTTTTCTCGCGTAAACTCACCCTTACGAAAGGGGTAAGTTTCCTCAGAGCCGCAATTGTACGACAAAACGAGCACATGGAAGCCACGTTAATGCCGGCCTCGATCGCAAAGTTCGCGCAATACCTTTAATTCACCCTCGTGCCGCAGTGCCTTCTATTCAATCGCAATGGGAATAATTACCGAGAATTATTTCTTCCTACTTCGCTACTTTACTACGTAATTGCGCGATTACTTCGGTGCAAAATAAAACGCGAGTACAACCGATATTGCTTTAACGATCCTCAAATTCCCTATATCGGTCAACGTCTAGAGAACATTTCGACCCCCTCGGTTGATAAGCCGATTTATAAATGATTTATAAATAGTGTTTTGCTCGAAATCAACCTAGTCTGCAAATATCATTTACGACCTCTCTAGTAAGAAGAAGAAGCGCCTTTAAGCGCCCACAGTAGTCAAAGGGTTAAGAAGCCAACAATACCATCTTAAGTCAATCCACACAAAAACGATTATACATAACTGTACAGGTAAGTTACTCGTGTTTTAACCCTTTGCACTCGACGACTTTTTCGTTACAGAAAAATAGCAATTCGAAGACTTTCTGTCATAGAGTCAACGATATTTTTAAAATGGTAAATGAGAAATCATATGCAAATTAAGACGTAGAATTATTTTTCTTCGACATTCCACACATTGTTCGGTAATTTTAAATTTGATATATTAATTAACGTCGATCTTTGGAATCTGATTAAATGGTGACTGAGAATCGCCTCTCGAGTGCAAAGGGTTAATACGTGTTTGTAACAAATCAGTGTCCTAAACTTACAGCAAGAACTGCAATCTTTGAAAACAGTAGTAAACAAGTAAGGTTGTACGAGAGAGAATAATATGGGATTCTATCGAGACTCGGTGCGTGGTACTCAAAGTCGAGGATCGGTAAAGCACACGTCAGAAAAGCACACATCGGGGTGGTGAGAATCGAATCTCACCATCGGGGTCACGAGACACGAGTCTCGGCATCGGAATTCCTTCGCGGCGTGGAATGCGTTCCGAGTCACCCCAAGATTGTTGAACCCCGTCTTACACGAAGGAGGGATCGCTCCTTCCATGTCCCTAGGGTCACAGAATCCAAATGGAACCAGAGTCGCGATTTTGCCGCATCGTAGACCCAAAACTCTAGGACCTCTGACGTCGACTTCGGGTCTTACGACGTTGGAGTTTCGCAATTTAAAGTTCCACGACCCATAGAGTGTTCTTGACTTAGTTCCGTTGGTTCAGCGCTGTAGTTACGACAGTTAAAGTCCTACCATTCCGTGACACTACGGACAGTGCTCCACAACCCTAGAGTGGCCCGTTAGGAGTCCAAACGGACGCAAAGTTCCCAAATTTACAATCTCAACTTCAATTTTCTCTATTTTGACTAGAAATATTGTTTCACGAATAATACGAGTCAAAGAATACGTAAAAATCTAAAATTTACGATTTAAATTTGAATTTCCTCTATCTCGTCTAACAATAGCGTTTGACAACCCTAAAGTGGCCCATTACGAGTCTAAAACGTGAAGATGCCAAACATACGATTCAAATTTTTATTTTCTCTCGTTTTGACTAACAACAGCATTCCACAATCTTAGAGTGGCCCATTGCCAGTTCAAGAAAAAGTAATGATCGGAAAATTCGTGAAAAATCGATTTTACGAATTAACGTTTCAGAGGGGGACGAAGATGAAAGTTAATTATTTGGAAATTGAATTACGTATGGGAATTAAAATTAACTGGGTATAATTATGCGGTAAAGCTGTTGTAATATCCGGGAAGAATTGCCAGCTCTCTCTTTGAGACCCTTTGCATAAAAAATGAAGCGTCTGGCAAAAGGGACCGTTCATTTGACGAAATCTCTTGAAAGCGGGCAGCAAGAAACAAGGTAAAACGCGGCAGGCAACCGTGAATGGAGTTATACAGCCGTGCTTTAATAATGCAACGTGTGCATCGTGTTCTATGGATAAAGGTCTCAAGGGATATGACCGATCGTCGTGCTTCACCGTTTGTTAGCCACTTCAGAACACGATCTCGACAACCTCGTATCATCGTTCTCTCCGCGGCCAGAGCGGAAAATGAACGTGTCACGGGGCGGATTGTTACTCGAGAACGAACTATTATTAAACTGGCAATAGCTCGCAGATGACACGGACAGTTTGCAACAATTAACTCCAGCCCGGGCGAAACTTTTAAAAATTTTCGACTGGATTGAACACCTTCGAATTACGAGTTTCTAATGAAAGTGAAAAATAAAATTCAATTAATTCCGTGGTAATGTCGCGTTTATCCTATATTCCTCAGCGTAGCGAAATTATAATAATTTTTCAAAGTTTTAAAGCAGATATATTAAAAAAAATTAATATTCTCGTCAATATCTTTGAAAAAAGATTCCAGGACTAGAATTTAAGATATTTCATCGTCACGTAATTAGATCGGAGAAAAGCG